ACATATATTATATTAAATTTACATACACTTATATTATATTACTTATATTCCTTATCTACTTAATCTCTACCTATTATCTACTTATATTACCTATATTACAATTTATATCTACTTAATATACATTTTATATATTAAAGTATTCAATATAAGTGTATTACTCATCTTATAGTAGTATACTTATATATTATAAACTATAAACATTATATATAAAATATACTTATATATATATATATAACATTATATATATATATATATATATATATATATATATATATATATATATATATATATATATATTCGAATTACTATATATAGTAGTATTATATATTCGAATTTCGAAGTACATTATACTATATTCGAATTACTATATATATTGTACTTATATATATTATACTTTTTTTATTCGAAGTATATTTGTTTAATATTGTATTAACATTACTTGATTAGTTAATTGTATTAGTCATCTTATAGTAATACACTTATACATTATATACTATAAACATTATATTATATATTAGTTATACACTTATACAATTCTATTACCTACAAGTAGTTAATAGAATATTGTTACATTTTAATTAAAGTATAAAAGTAGTTAATTGTTGCATTTGTCATTTCGCTATTAGTTCATTAGTTAATTGTTGCATTTTTCATTAAAGTGTACAAGTATTTAGTTGTTACATTTCAATTAAAGTATAAAACTAGTTAATTATTGCATTTTTCATTAAAGTGTACAACTACTTAATTGTTACATTTTAATTATAGTATACAACAAGTTAATTGTTACATTTGTCATTTCGCTATTAGTTCATTAGTTAATTGTTGCATTTTTCATGAAAGTGTACAAGTATTTAGTTGTTACATTTTAATTAAAGTATAAAACTAGTTAATTATTGCATTTTTCATTAAAGTGTACAACTACTTAATTGTTACATTTTAATTATAGTATACAACTAGTTAATTGTTACATTTTAATTAAAGTATAAAACTAGTTAATTGTTGCGTTTTATTATTACTGTTGTACTCATATTAAAATATTTGATATACTTTTATATTTGTTAAGATGGACCGTGGTAGACATTCTGTAGATATGGGAAATCTCGAACGCAACCGAAAGAAGGAGATTGCGAGAACTCATCCTAGTTTGCGCAAGAATACCGGGCAGTCCGGGTCTTCTTCTCAAAGTCGACAAGATTTTGAACCGGAATACCAACGGCGAGATGGCCACGCGATGTCCGACGAGCAACTACAACAACTATTGGCTCAAAATGATGGGCGATTTTTTCATCAACGAGACATCCCGGACGAGATTCACACCATTGACGAAGAAGAGCTCGAGGATGACAATCCGGAGGAGGACGCGGGGGGCGCCGGGAGTCACGGCACCCCGGATGAGGAGCAAGAGGCGGAGGACGAGGGTGGTTCATCCCAAATAGGTACGAAATCTAAATCTCCTATTATAGAAAATAATTTTAAAAAGTATAAAGACCCAAGCACCGAGAAATGGTACGCAAGTTGCAACCATTGCGATAAGGTGTATAGCTTGGGAACTTCGGGCGGATACGGGAGCCTCAAAAGGCATCTTATGGGCAAGCACAAGGTGGAGTACGCAAAAATTGAGAAAGGCAAGGGGAAGCAAACACAAATATCGAGGTTTGCAAATAACCAACCTTATGGTAATTTCTCATACAATGATCAACAAAATTTGACGGGTATGACTAACTTTATGGTTGAAGAAAATTTACCTTTTTTGTTTTCTGAAAGTGTTTCTTTTCAAGAGTATGCACAAACTTGTTTAAATCCTCAATTTCGAAGTTTTAGTCGAAAAACGGTTAAGAAAGAAATTATAAGGCTTTATAAGGCGGAAAAGGCAAACTTACAAAACTTTTTTGCAAACTATGATGGGCGTGTTACTGTTTGTTCTGACATATGGGAGGACACCTATCATAATTTACATTATTTGGGTTTGACTGCACATTATGTTGATGATGATTGGAATATGCATAAACGTGTTCTTGCTTTTCGTGAATTTAATGATCGTCACACCGCTGAACATATTTATATTTTGATTGAGCGTATTTTAATTGAGTATAATTTGGTTAATAAGGTGTTTGCTATAGGTTTTGATAATGCTACTAATAATACTGCTGCTATACCTAGATTGCGTGAATTGTGTGGTTCTACTACTTTGATGGGTAGATTTTTTCATCAACGATGTGCATGCCATATAATAAATTTATGTGTGCAGGATGGTCTAAAAGCGTTGGGAGATGCTATGGAGGTAGCGAAGGGGGGGATTAGACGTATTTGGGCTAATGGTCAACTTAAATTAAAATGGAAAAATTATTTGAATGAAAGAAATGTGAAATATGTTGCTTTTCCTAAAGATTTGTCTATTCGGTGGAATAGTTCTTATAAATTAATTAGAGTTCTTATTAGATATAAAGAACATTTTCCTGCTTTTTTAAAAAAATATGATAACTACATTTTAAACTCCGCTCACATCGACACTTGCGAAAAAATTTGTAATGTTTTGATATTTTTTAATAATGCAACTGAAAGTTTTAGTCATGTTTATAAACCTACTTCAAACGAATTTATGCGTGAACTTGTTAATCTCGCCGGTGCTTTTAATGAATTTGCAAATGCCGATTATGTGAGCTATTTTTGTGGTTTTATGAAGGAAAAGTTTTTAAAATATTATGCACATATTCCGCATATTTATGGTATTGCATTTATTCTCGATCCTCGTTTTCGACTTGGTAATTTGGAACAATGTTACAAGTTCTATTATCAATCTTTTTATGGTGATTTTCCAATGTATGAAGATAACCCTATAGATCCGCAATCTGAATACAACGAGGTTAGTAGTTTATTCTATTCTTTATTTAATGAGTTTCGTGCACAATATGGCAACGCGCCCCCTCCCCCGACCCAAACATCTTCATCTAAAGGAAAATCACTTTTTGAATCTGCATTTGGCAATCTTATGAAAAAAAACTAAAACAACTCACACTACTGAACAAAGCACAATTAATGAGATTGCTTTGTATACTAATTATGAGGTTGAGTTTGTAGAAAATGAAGAATTTGACGTCCTAAAGTGGTGGAAGTCAAAAGAAAGAATGCTCCCGATTTTAGCACGGATGGCTAAGCAAGTACTATCAATGCCGGTTTCAACAGTTGCCGTGGAACAAGAATTTAGTTCGGCCGGCAACGTCCTAACTAAATCGAGAACGTGTTTGAGTGCCGAATCTCTTGAGACGCTTATATGCTACCACGATTGGTTGAAGGCAAGACGTAGAACTCAAGAAGTTAGCATCACCCCCTCCCAAGACTTTATGGATGAATCAACCGAGGGTGGTTCTACCTATGCCGGAGATTCCGATTGATTAGTATTTTACAATTTATTATTGTATCCTCAATTCTCTATTGTAATTTGTCAACTTGTAGATTTGTAGTTCATATTTCAAATCAATAGACATTATATTTTTTATATGTCGCATTTCTCAAATTAATCAAGTTACAACTTACAACTTAGAAAGTTAGAAACTTACAATTAATTATATTATATTATTATTACTTATTACAAAATGTATTAGAATTAATTGTTCTCAATTCTCAAATGTAATTCCTATTTCACATAAATGCACTTGAAGATTGTTTTATAATATCCAAAAAGATGTATATTTTAACATTAAAAAAAAATATACAGGCCCGACCCGACCCGGCGGTTCACCCGGCCCGGGGCCCGGCCGGGTCACCCGGCCCGAACCGGCACCCGTCTATTAGCGGGCCGGGCCCGGGCCCAACTTCTGCAAACCGAGGCTCGGCCGGTTCAAGGCCCGAACCGGGCCCGAACAGGACCGAGTCCAGACCTAATACACGGTACTCCCTCCATATCTAATTGATCCATTTGCTTTTCACGGAGTTTGATATTTATTGAACTTTATAAAAAGTAAGAAGTTTTTTGTATTGTGGCGATACTGTAGTAGTACTATAGCTTCTTTTTTAGTGAGATTCTTTCCCAAAAAAGGAAATGAGACAATTAATTTGTTACATAAAAAATGGAAAGTGTGACAATTAAATAGATAGGGAGGGAATCTATTTTATCTAAAGAGGAATAACTTATCACATTCCGAAATTATGTTATCATATTTGGTATCATCACACATGACACATGACAACACTAATGCCATGAGTGAAAGTATTTTTCAAGCATGGCACTCTTTTTCAAGCAGTGCTTTTATTTTAGAATTTCATTTTGTTTTCTCTCTTACTTAAGCCTTAATTATAAGGCATGCAATTTTTTCATGAAGATTTAAACAGATGATCAACCTATTTTAAATATGAGAAAGTGGTCCAGTCTAGGCACTCTCCCTTACGAGAGGTCTCAGATTCGAAACTCAATGGAGTAAGTTTCAGCCCTGATTACTCCAGGTCCTCCAGTCCCCTCCCCCAGACACCCCCTGGAGTAAAAAAGTAAAAGGGATTCTTTTTCTAGAGTAAATAAAAGGGATTCTTAAGAGTATTAAAATTATTCCTTATATTACACATTGACACACATATGTGTCTATTCGTGTGTTTATGAAAAACACACGCATAATTATGTGAAAATTGGACGGGATATGTGTCATTTCTCTGCGTAAAGCCGTAAACACACAAAGGGTGAATAGATGTGAATATTTTATTATTTTTCACTACAAGTTTCAATATACCTATTTATTCACTGTTGTATACAACAACATCTAAGCTTTACTCCAATAAAATTTGGGATCTGCGTGCTAAAACTAAATTGAACTAAAATTTAGAAATTTATTTTTTAGAAGTTGGATTACTTTTTCTTAAATGCTTTTAACTACAAGTTATTTCGCTTTCTTAACATGTTTGACATACACAAACCAAGTTATTTCGCTTTCTTAACATGTTTGACATACACAAACAAAGTGGAGCTTCATCAATAAATAAATAGACAACTGCATTCAAGCCTTACTCCCAAAAGAAATAGACATGTATAAAAAATGGTACGTGTCCTCGTCTCCTTCCTAGGGACAAACAACACCTACTTCTCACAATTTTCACTTCAACACAACAGAAAAAGAGATTTTCTTCTTTCTTTTTTTAACATTAGCTAAAATTTCAAAGATGATATACAATCTCTGCCATACAGTAGAACACACAACAAACTACACTAAAAAAAGGAAGTGTTATGGGTTAGCTGACATATACATGATTAAAAAGTCAGCACAAGAAACATAAGCTTCTACTACTACTACTACTCCTATGTGTGTCTTTCTCTTCCAGGCCTTTCATGAATGATATAATTGCCATGTGCTCTGAAGCATATGTCATGAAGGATGCTAGAACAATTCCTGCTCCCACCATCATACCCAACCTGCACAAACATATCATACAGAACTTACACACACACACACACATTATGAACTCCCAAGAGATTTCTAGGATTGCTATAAAGACATTCTGTTTTTACAAAAAATGCACTCTCTCTGTACATTGTCTTGGTCCCATCTTACCCTTTTCGCCCATTCTACTAAGTTTCTCTCATACCATATTAGAGTGGTTGCTATTCATTCTTACTTTACCACAGTTTATCAATTTAATACTAACCAAATGGGAGCCTTGGCACACAGTCAAAATGTTGCTATGTGAATAGGTCACAAGTTCTAGTCTTGAGAGTTACCTCTTGTCAAAAAAATTGATGAGAGGTGTTTGCCTCTTGCCTAGTTGTTCAAAGTTTCAAATTACATCCTTTTGCACATATTATTTATATTCCCTCCATCCCAAATTAATTGATGTTTTTGAAAACTTCACACATACTTACAACATTGCAAGACCCCCTTAAAAGTTTAACATGAAATTTCTTACATCTTTCATAATACAAAAGCATTTAATGTAAGAAGTGTTTATATCTCATATGGACAAATTTGGTAAGAAAATTATTATGGGGAAAAAAGTTTGCTAACACCCCTTTTAATTTTAAGCAAAGGGAATAAACTAAACTAGTGATGAATAAATAGAGATAAATGGTCAAGTAGGTCACCTCAAAAACAGTGAAGTGACCCCAAAAAGACAAGGCAGTGATGGGGTTGCAATGGCAAGAAAAGCCATTCCTAAACCATAGTTCCATGCAGCCATGTCACAACATGACTGCTGCCGCTGATGAACTGAAAAAGAACAACAAATAAATTAATAATATATAAATAAAGGTATATAAATGGCAGCCACAAATTAGATTTAGACAAAAGTACATGGCTTGGTGAGAGTCTAGTCAGCCAACCAACCTTTTGCTGAATCATATGCCAATGACTCAGATCGAGAACTGCCCACTTGATTTCCCATCAGCTTTCCCCATTGCCGGACTACATTCAAGTAACTTCCAAAGAAGAGGAAGAAAAGCGTGAATGTCCACTCATACATTAGGATGAGACCAGTCCAGGGCATTATTTGGCGGGGGATGATTAGGAGAGAGAGCCCAAGGGACAGCAAAGCAGCACCAAAACAGACAAAGATTGACAACCCACATACATAAGAAGGCACCTTAAACTGTGTACCATCTGTTAACTGCATTTATCACAAGGTCATGTCAGTATGTTCCAAGGTCCCTTTGGTACCAGGAAAATAGCAGGGAAATCTGGAAAGGAAAGTTTCATGAAATTTTGGAAGGAAAGAACTTGGGAAGAAAGACAGGATACCTGAAACTGAATAAATTTAATTTAGTTATTTGTTCAAACTCATTATTTATTTACTTCTAATACATAAATACTACGAAGCACAAAAATATGAAAAACTATTATCATATTTGATTTTTCTTTGCATTTACCAAGGTATAAAGTTAACCATAAAAATCTGCTTTACACAACACGCTTTTTTTCCAAACATTTTTGGAGAGCCAAACAGACTCTTGCTATTTTTTTGTCAGAGGGAATGAATTCAAAATGAAAGATGTTTAGCATCCTAATAAATGCATATGCAAAAATTGTATGTTTACTCATGAGTGGGTAACTCACTAACTTGGCACTCCAAGAAAACCAACAACTTGCTAAATTTAGTCCAATAGGCATATCAATTAGGGTATGTTTGGATCCTGGAAAATACTATGTAAAGGAAAACAACTCATGAAAGTTTTTTGGGAAAACTGTCAAATAAGCCCTCGTAGTATATTAAAAAAGTCAATTAAACCCTCGAACTAAAACCCACAAACTTTAGAAAAACCATCAAATTTAGAATTTAGACAGTAAATATCATGTTACCCCGGTCATATGGCTGATGTGGCTATCCATCTGGATTTTTTTGATTTTGTCTTTTTCTTTCTTTTCTTTCTTTTTTACTTCCTCACCATCCCTCTTTCTTCTTGTTTTTTCTTCCTTCTCCACAACCCTCCTGTACCTACATTTCTTCTTTCTTGGACTTTTCCTTTCTTTCTCCCGCCCGTACTGCTCCCCTTTAGTTTAATCTTCTAGCTACCCTGTTGTGGTTCATTATTTTCATTCGTGATTGTTTAAGTTAGAAACTCCAGCGAAGACTCGAAGAGGCGGCTCGGCGGCAGATATGTTCAGCTTCCTGCTGGCTAATGTGACCTCGTTCTTGCCGGTCTTCATCTGCAATGACGGGAATTAGCTCGGGAAGGCGGCCACGGCAGCGAGGACAAGCTCAAAAGTCTGGCGTATGTTTATACACCTCCGGTGATGATGGAGGCTTAGCTTACGAGCTCGAAATTCCAACGTACATCTTCTCCACCACCGGAAAGGAAGGAATCTTGGTCGATGAGCTCGAAATTCCGGCAAACATCTATTACACATCTGGCACCGCTGTGCTTGGCCATGGATGGCAGCTTGGCCAATGAGCTCAAAATTCCAGTGTCTGTGTTCTACACTTCTACACCTATGACGCCAAAGGGTTCGTGCTTGGCCGACCAATTTTTAGACTTAAAAAAATGAAATGAAGAAAGAAAGGGAGAAGAAGAAGCAGGGTGACTGAAATGGCGGAAGAAAAATTACGCAGGAGGAGGGCAGGAAAGGAAAAGGAAAAATAAAAATAAAAAGAAAAAAATGTTAAAAAACACGTGGATAGCCCCATCAGCATTATCACCGGGTAACTGGATCTTCACCTGCTTAATTCTAATTTGTCTTTTTTTCTAAAGTTGGAGGACTTAATGTAGTGTCTTTTAGTTTAAGGGCTTAATTGACTTTTTTCATATACTACGGGGGCCTATTTGATAGTTTTCCCAAGTTTTTTCTTATGTTCTGGTTTTACATTGAAAACGCAAAAAGGAAATGATATATTCCTTTATTATTATTTGTTTCAAATTCCTTTTTAAATAGTTGATCACTTACCTAATCTGGAAAACCCTTTTATCTACCTTCTCCTACTATTCACTACCCCCATACTTCTTCTTAAAAACCGTGAAAAGACTAAAGGATCAACCAATAAAATAGTGGGGGTATGATAGTTTGCTTATTTGTTTACTTTTTACTTTTACACATATATAGAATATAGATTTAAGTCTATATATAGACAGTCGACATAAAAAAATTAACTGAGTACCAACAACTATATCTAAAATAAATTATTGAATTTTAGCCTACCCTTCCCCCCACGTTTTGTTCCCTTCAAATTTTCTTCTACAATTTCCTTCCTGTTTTCTTTTTCAAGTACTTGTTGGGATCCAATGAGACCCTCAGGTATTTCTCGGGTCTATGTGATTGTAGAAAACGAGAGAAAAGAGTATAATGTTAATCAATCTTATCATGCTCCCAAGACTTGATAAGAAGATGAACCTGTTGGTTGGAGCTGATGATGGATGGAGGAACTGAAGAATAAGGAAGGATACCTCCTGCTCTGAACTTGTAGTATATATGTTTCATATGATCATAAAGTGAGCGCGTCTGAGGAAAAAAAGTGTTTTTCATGTAGACAGTTTAATAAGATTGTTGACTGGACACTTTCAAAGGAAGGCATATTACACTTACCTGTAAATATGACCGGTAGAAGCAGAAAAGTACAAGAAATAACGGAAACAGGCAAAGCAATTTGACAAAAAAATCATCTTTAGGATTTTTGCCTCCATGGGTTCCTGGTAAAGTTTCCTTAAGCTGCACCCTGGCATTCTGCCACATCAGCAAATTATCAGAGTTCATTGGATTGAACGGGTTGTTAAAAAGCTAAAAGTCATTAAGTCATTTAGTAAATTTTAAAATGTATCAAATATGAAGGACAAGAAAAGGAAAAGTAGCAAGAAGAAACACCTGCCAGACATCAACCGGTTTGACAAGCCAAGATGTCCACCAATCCCATGGTTTGAGTGGCCCAAGTGTGTAATGTATAACACGCAGTTCTTTCTCATCAACCATCCACTGCACATAGCAGTAAAAGTAAAAATATGTCTATGAAAAAATCAGCACACCAAACAATTCTATAAAACCAAATGCACATGTAAGACTTCATCTTGGCCCTCAACAGGCAACAGAAATTAGATCTATAATATCCAGCCTATAAGGCTTACATTGACTAAGAAAAAAAGATTACAGCTACCACAAAGGCAGAGAAAGAAGAAACTTAAAACTAGAGAATACCTTGTTAGCAAGCATGTATAGGCCAACATCTGCATTGTAAAGAGTAGAAAGTCTCTCCATTTTAGGAAGGGGCCTAGATTTTAAAACATCTTGTGGTAAGTTCGGCTCAAACAGATGAGCATTAGGAAACCCAGCATAGTAGGAGTTGAGAAACCCTTGATCACCTGTAAGCATCAAGAAACTCATTAAAAACCAAAAAACGTCCCTAATTGTATCAAAAGTTTGAATGTATAATAAGTATCTTTGCAGTTGCAGCTGATCTTGTCATTTCTTGACATATCTAGTCATTTTTTGTTTGACAGGTCAGCATATGCAGCATGCACAAGATCATAACTTTTTGAAAGTACATGGTCATTAATGTGTTACTTTAGTTAATTTGCGAGCTAAATGAGATGTATGAAGAGTGTAAGGTCAAGTGAGAGGTTATTTTGTTGAAAGTTCAGGGTCACTTTTGGGTATATAGAGTTAAATGAATTAACTAAAGGAAAAATTCCCGAAATAGGAGTAAAAAAGTTTGAAAATTTCAAAATAGGACTGTCATGTTTTTATTCCCAAAATAGGAGTAATTACTGCCAAATTTGGAAAATACCGCCGTGTTTAAAGTGATATTATCAAAACATGGCAGTAATTTGATAGATCCGTGAGATCTGGTACCAAAACAAAGAGCAAAGTGACAGAGAATGAAGAGGAATAATCGGAATAGCTTTATTTCTCCAACTGAACAGTTCACAAAGGATACAGTGCTCAGGGGCTGATTCGAGATGCCCAATCTCCCAGTACAGTCCAATCCAAAATAAAACCTACCCTTCTTTTAGTTGACTCTTCTATTTATAGTCCTTCTCCACGCAGGGATAAAAGGAACTAATAACAATAATAGACTTCTTATCCTTTCTATTATACTCTTTATAGAATAGGCCCACTAATTATTTATAGAATAGGCCCAATCATTATTTATTCCTATCACTACTCCTCCCCTAAACAACCACCTTGTCCTCAAGGTGGGTGATAGGAGTCAGCCTTGATCTTCATATTGACCTTCATTCTTGCGCCCCTCCCTTCCCAGTACTTTACTGCTTTCTGTTTCCCTAGCTTCCTGATTTGGACCTTCAACTTCACTCCTTCCATTGCCAGAAAAAACATAGCAAGAGAGAGCAAAGACAAGGACTGTTTTGCATCCTGCTGCATGATGTTGCTGAGGTTAAAGACTTCCAGCAACTGTATCTGTGGACCATCTCCCAACCTCCATCTCAGGCCATGTGTAACTCCATTACACTCAGATTTCAGAGTATCTAACGGCCAATGCACCAAGTCTGGGACAATTTCTTCAACCTTGCTACCAAGAGAGAACTCTTCAATCCATTTCAGTCCAGAATTCGAGGAGTCCCGAATTGCAGAAAGTACCCCATTAAAGCCTTCCATACCCAGAACCAAAAACTGGTCAACCTTCAAATCAGGCTTCATGGTCAACTTTCTTAACCCTGCCTCATTAATAACATCACTGGCTGTGTCTGGCATATATCTATCAGGATTATGTCTAGCTGATTGTGGTACAGCAGCTGTTATGGTTTCATACGGATGTTTACCTTTATGATGCTCATCATTCGCACCCCCTGGCAGTATCTGTACAGCATCCCCTAGCCACCTCCTTCGGTGTTCTCCATCTTTCCATTCCATAGTCAACTTCTGGAAGTCAAACTTCACGCTTCCCAGTTGTGCCAACCATTCCAGTCCCAGGATTAAGTTTGATCCTCCGAGATCCAAGACATAGAAGTCTTGCTTAATCATCACGTCTTGCACTTTAATTTGTAGCTTTTCACATCTTCCATTGTTCCTTACACGTTCTCCATTGCCTAGTTCCACCTGGAATTCTCCTAACTGCTGGAAAGGCAATTGCATTTCTGTGATCAGCTTCTGAGAAACAAAATTGTGAGTTGACCCGCAATCAATAAGGATATCCACCTGCCTTTCTCCCTGATTCCCTTTTAAAAGCCCCTTTACTGTGAAGGCCCTCAGGGTAGGTATCCTCTCAGGTATCCTCTCTCTGCTCATACGAGATAATTGCATGGATTTTGATTCCAACACCACTTCTTCTACTGGAATTTCAGGTTCTTCAGAATCTGTTTCTTCTTCAGCATCCGAGTCTTCTACTAACATCATCTTATAGTGCCTCAGCTTGCAGGTATGCTCTTTATTCCACTTCTCTCCGCACTTAAAACACAGCCCCTTCCTGCTTCTTTCCTGAAGTTCTTCGTGAGATAACTGAGGTGCTACCTTTCTGATCCCTGAAGATTGCATGTCAGTGATCTTCTTCTCCATTCTCTCAAACCATGAATTGAAATCCCTGCTTTCAGCTGCACCTTTGCCATTATTGTTGGAACCAGAGCTCCCTATTTTTGCTCTAAATCCATCCCCCCATGTCTGAGGTTTTGCAATAGTAGGTCCCTTCTCCTTCAAAGTCAGTCTGTCTTCTTCATTTCTCCTCCCATACATAGCTTCATTTTTGTCTTCAATCAGAATAGCTGTGTCCATAATCTCATTCAAAGTACTGGAGCTATGCAGCTTAAGATCCGCTTTGATTTCAGCCCTTAGGCCATTCAGGAAGATCCCTTTCAGCATCTCCATATCAATATTAATTTGCGGAGCTATGACCATCTCAAATTCATCTCTGTAGTCCCGAACAGAACCAGTCTGCCTCAAGCTAAGCATTGGCCCATAGGGATTTTGAATCAAATCCGGTTGGAACCTACGTATAACTGCTGCCTTCAAACTCTCCCAGTTCTTCCTCTCAGTCTGATGCTCCCACCAAATGAACCAGTTGATTGCCCTTCCCTCCATTGCGACCACAACTGCTTCAACCTGTTCTTCTTCATGAATGTGATTTACTCGGAAATACCTCTCCATCCTTACAAGCCAGTTATAAGCACTATCTCCAGTAAAAATAGGCAGATCAATTTTACGACCAGTTTGAATAGTAAACCGATTATAATTCTCAGGTTCCCTGTGATGTTGGACGCGGAAGTGATTCGGAGAGGGATTTCGATTACCTCCAGATGTCGTGGGGCTGTTAGATGAGCGCACATGATGTTGAGGTGGAGATCGCACACGATGCTGCGGAGGCGATCGCGATCGTGCTCTGGATCTGAACTGTTCACCCATGGCGGCCATTGAAGCCGACATGCTTGCTGACAGCGCATCTATTGTTGAACGCAACTCTTCCTTGAATTCCGACTGTACTTCCGATAACCGTCGCTCGATCGCATCCATACGCAGCTCCATCTTTGCTCGCGTTCTGACCATTCACCAATGGAGCGACAGGGTTTTGATTCGCGCGCAAAAAAATCCGATCACCAGGCGTGATTGCTCTGCTGAAGTCGCACGTCACTTCCGAGTCCCAAGAGCTATGCTTTGATACCAATGATAGATCCGTGAGATCTGGTACCAAAACAAAGAGCAAAGTGACAGAGAATGAAGAGGAATAATCGGAATAGCTTTATTTCTCCAACTGAACAGTTCACAAAGGATACAGTGCTCAGGGGCTGATTCGAGATGCCCAATCTCCCAGTACAGTCCAATCCAAAATAAAACCTACCCTTCTTTTAGTTGACTCTTCTATTTATAGTCCTTCTCCACGCAGGGATAAAAGGAACTAATAACAATAATAGACTTCTTATCCTTTCTATTATACTCTTTATAGAATAGGCCCACTAATTATTTATAGAATAGGCCCAATCATTATTTATTCCTATCATAATTACTAATTAGTCCTATTTTGGGAATAACATGACAGTCCTATTTTGGAATATACAAAGGTTTTTAGTCCTATTTAAGGTAATTTCCCTTCACTAAATTGATAGACAATACAAATTTGATGCCACTGACACATAGTGGGTATGAAGGTACTGATGTTAATGATGATGGAAGTCCATATGTACTGAAAAGGGAAGTAGAGCTAAAGAAGTAAAGGAATGACCAAACTTCATTTCATGATAGCTAAAAGATGACATGTATAATGAAAAGGTAGCATCTCAAAACTATTAGATCCAGGAATGCATCAAAATTGAAGAGGAAAAAGATTACAGCGCAATTTAATTGAATCAATTTGTATATGGGGCATACCTCCAGTGTAAGAATGTAAAGTGGTAACCTTGCTAATCATATCCTTAAAAAGTTCTTCAGATGGCTCAACAACCATGACTCCAGAATTCAGCCTTTCAGAGTGCTTCAAGTTTGCACAGAACTTTTCACATTTAAATAAGTCTTCAATGCTCTTCACAACTATTGTATCAGCATCAAGATACACCACTGCCACAACAGCCAAAAGGGTTAGGTGAAACACAACCCTTCAGTCCACATTTTTCAATGTCCAACCAGGAAAATACTCAGTCCCTGGGTATAATTATGTGTATAAAATGACCACATTACCCTTTCAAAAACAGTATATAAGATTTATCACAACCACTAAGAGAAGGGAAAAGTTGGAAGTATTTTATTCATCTAAAAAATGAAATGTGACGAATATTTTGAAACATATTTTTCTTTCCAAAGTGAGATTTATTCGGAAACAGGTGGAGTATTTCTATACAAATATACATTTTACAATCATCTTTTACATATGCACATAAATAACCAATAAATTATAGTGTGTGAAATTATCAAGTTCACAACAATCAATGTCTTGACTTAAGAAGAGCTTAGTAGGAAACCAAATAAATTGAATTAGTAGGATATCAAATCACCTTTCTTGTAATTAGTCATATTGAAGATTTTCAGTTTCGTATAGACGCCCCAAAACCTGGTCGGTCTCACTTGATTTGGGTTTGCCAATAAACTAATTTCTTCAACAATCCACCCATCAGCCTGCATAGAAACCACAAAATCATCCTAAACCACTCACCAACAAAAAACAATGCAACTACACAAGTAATTTTGAGGGTGCATGATATGCTGAGTCCACTGCTGCCTCCTACCAGTTTAGTCAAATTGGGATAAAGACATGATTTTTACACATCAACACGATCATCAAATGTCAAGTTAGCAAACCCAATGAGAGACTGAACCAAGTTTAGCTTCTGGTTTAACTGTAATCTTTGCAGTGTTGCAAAATTAACTATCTTGGGCACTTTCTAGTAGTGTTTTGAAATACTACGGAGTAGTAATGTTCTTAACTAATCACTTAACACATTAGCAGATTATCATAGATAATAAATAAATATATGAGTCAGAGCATAAAGAATAATAGCAAAGACAGCAGCTTTTTGTTGATTAAACTCAAGAAAAGTACCTGAAGGAGCTGTTTGGCGTAGCTGGAAACACCATCTGAGACCAAAGCAACCATGTCCTTGGTGGTTCCAGTATCCCGGATAGACTTGCCGAGAACTCGAACGCCGAGCAGGAACTCGTCACCGTAGAGGAGCGTCACGTAAGCTTCTTTCGACGATTGAGATCTCTGTGCTCCGGAGGCGCAATTATTACTAAATAATGACAAAATTAGAACCAGCCAAACAACCCCTGACCTCCATCTGGAAGACTTCATGGTGGCTTGGGAGGTTTCCAGAGAAAAATGGGGTTTTGGCCGCCGGAAGGTGAAGAAGATGGAGATCGAATCAAAACTTTTTTAGGGGTTTTTGAGCTGTTTATGATTATTCTTTTCAATGATCACGTGAAAGAGAATATTTGCTCTTCCGGCGGACAATTCGAAATGGAATGAATTTATATTGGGGAGTCATTTCTTCATGGTTTTTTCTACTGGTCTTTGTTGCCGTCTGGCCTTGCTGTCATCGGGACGGGGTATCGTCAACCTTCGTTCAACTTCTCGTTCATTTAGCCGGACTTCTACCGTGAAGGAAGTCAAGTTGGTAGGCAGTAAAAAAGATGATTGCAATGTTCACTATTAAAATCCTACAATGATTAGGGCCAGGTACTCAGGTAGATATAATTAAAGCTCTTGAATGCATTGCTTAATTGATTTGTGAATTTATGAATGGTGGAATTTGTTGAAATTATGAAAAATAGTTAAAATGATTCTAATTTGAGTTAATTAATCAAAAAAATAATTTTAACTTGTTTAGATCATTAGAAAGTTGTGTGAAACAAAATAATTATGTGTTCAATGATTTTTTATTCCATTAAAATAAATAAACGGACATCGATACCAAGTGAGGTATAATGTTACTACGTATGAAATTGGATTGTCATTTGTGATTTGTCAATACTAGTTTCTCACCTGCGCGATGCGCGAGATATAAAAATGTAATAGTAATATGACATTATTTGTAAACATTGCTCGTCGTGTGAAATGTTTGCAAATTGTGTTAGACGTAATGTGCATAATAAATTATAATTAAAGATCCAAAACTCAAAGATAGGTAGTAAGTGTGCCTTGGAATAAGAAGATAAAAAGATATGTTATATAGAGTTTCACAATCTACACATTGCGAAAAAACTTCTTTATAAACAACATTGGTGGTATGGTTTGTTGGTTGGCCATCTTCACCGCATGTTAATATCTTCAAACCCTTAGGATTTGTTACCCTTGACACTGCAACATAGAGTTGACCATGTGTAAACACTGACTTTTTCAATAAAAGACCGACATGAGTCAAAGATTGTCCATGCTCTTATTTATAGTCATCACGTAAGAGGTTTGTTGCCCATCTTCATAGCAATTCACTCTTTTCAAACCCTTACTATAACAAAATATCACAATTTATTTTCGAATTATATATCAATATTAATAATGAATAACAATAACAATATATAATAATATGTATACAATTTCGAGCCTGGTCCAAATAACAATTAAAGTTAAACCCAGCCCAACACAAAAAAGAATCTATTGATAAAACTAATACCTATTCCGGCCCAACAACTCAACCCAATTGAAATTAAACCTACCCAAAAATCTAACCCAGTTGCCTAGCCCGCCCTACCCAGTCAACACTATATAAACCCCTTTACCCAGACCATAACCATATTACCCTTCGGTTATAACCCTTATCCTTCGGCCGCCCCAAGAAACCATCGATTCTTCCGATGGGCTGCTTCGCCGTTAATGCTTCATCTACCTCCCTTTTCTTCAGTATTTTACTCCCAATGTCCTTTGTTTGTATATTTTTATGGCAACCTGACTGATCGGTTCACATCGTTAAGGGGGATGGGCTTTATGTTCGTCTTTCCCACATACACCACTGGTACATCTACTAAGGCTGAGTGATAACTCATAATCTCAGACCTTCGTTGGATTCTTTGTGGTGTTTTTCTCATACTTGACCGCTCTTGATCTTTAACCTAATGCTATGTTTAATTAGGTTTTAGTCTTAACACATGAATTATTCTCAGTTTTTGGATCTCAACTGACTTATTTTCAAAATATTTCTTCGATTTGAAGTAGAAATGAAAACGAATATAAGATTTATTCATTTTTCAAACATGTATATTTATTTCTACGCAGATTTATGCTACCATGTTTGGTTACGAATGCCCAGGTCCAGATTTCAAATATATGTGAATCTGTGAATTTGTTGAGATTACGCCCTACATGTGAAAGCTTTTTTTGTTATGTTTTTTAAATGATCTGAGACTTCATTTCGGAATCTGTTTGCGGTTCCAACTTTAATGAAACAGATCTGCACAATTTCAAAACCCTAATTTTTTTATTCTATGTTGTTTTTTGGCTGGTATGTGTTCTGGACAATGTTGAATTTGAAATTGGAATTTCATATCCTCTTTATGCATATATGTTTCGGAATAGATGGCCGCCATAAAGACTGAGTGATCTTTTTGAAAGGATCTCAGATCTGCAGCCTCATTTCGTCCCTTTTATTGTTATAAGTTCATAGTGGCATTTGACATACATTTATGTTGATAAATTTATACAACGCTGAGTGATTGTAAGGAAATGATCTCAAAAACCGTTCACTTCGTTGTGTTTGCTGTAATTTTTATTTCTACCATTTCAGATTTATTGTTTTTGTCTTGGACTTGCCTAGGCAGAACCTTTACAGATTCACAATTACACTGACTGTTATGAGTTTTCATAAACAACACTCGCATATGGACTGACGGATCTTGAAATTTTTAATTCTCTACTACTAAGCTACAGGGTGTTTGAGTATAATAAAAGATATATAGGGACAATGGAAACTAATAATCCAACCTTTGAGCGATCTTCTTTCAATAATCCCACCTTTTGATTATTCATGAATAATCCAACCTTTGCACTTCATCTTCATTCATTGGTCCCTGGTCGGTTAATGACCTACTATTCTAAGTTATTTTTTTATCTTTGCAAAATATTATCTTTGTGAAAGATGAGATTTATGGTATAATGATTTGCAAAGATAAGAAAATAGCTTGGAATAGCAGGTCATCAACCGGTCAGGGACCAATGAATGAAGATGAGGTGCAAAGATTGGATTATTCATGAATAACCAAGAGGTTGGATTATTATAAGAAGACCGTTAAAAGGTTGAATTATTAGTTTCCATTTTCCCAAGATATATATGTATACAATTTGGAAATCAACATTGTATTTTTTCAAAGTTGTTTACAAACTGTGAAGTTCATATTATCTGGTCTTACAAAATATGAACTTTCAAAGCCTGTAGCTCGGAAATTATTTTGTGATAATAATGTAACCCAGTTCATACATAGCTATATTATTTCGATCAAACTGAACAACACATTTTTTAATTGAAAACTATCTTTGTTTATCAAGTCTTGAAGACTTCTTTTACGGTTGATTCTTGTGCTTTTGGTGATCTTCTTCATCAAAGAGCTATTATCAAAAGCAAAATCGCATGTTATTAACTTCAACCGGTGGAAGGCTTGAATACTTGTAAACCAAATTTATAATCACTTTTATTTTAAAACATGTAAGATGTTTATTCATTTGCTTACCTTGATTTTATAAACTTTGAGGAAAGTTGGTCATTTTGGTTACTGGTTTTAATGGCCCATCCTGCAGGACTGCCAGATTCCCTGCCAGCCCTAAAGTGGCCTTCGAAACTGTGCGGTCTAGCAGTTTGTTGGCCTGAAAATTTAATCACACCAGATGACAAATATCCTTAATCATGGTCACATGCATTTCATCTTATGACAATCTACTCATGAAATGTGTTTGAGAACCTGAATCAATTTGGTTCCTAGATTTTGTTTATATAGTTTATAGTTTATAGTTTATAGTTTATAGTTTAAGTTTACATTATAACATGTACTGGAAGTTTTGTGAAATGCATAAATCAAAACATTCTTCTTCTTTTTTCTTCCACAAATGCATAAGCATACAACATTCAGCATTGCACCTGCATAGTACACTAACCATACAACACTAAACATGCCTTAGCATTACATCCGATTTTACACGACACAGAATTTGCAAAAAACAAAACACTTGACATCTTTTACATATCTAGCTTCAAATACGTGCATCATACTACACTAAACACGGCTTAGCATTACATCAGATTTTACTTGGTATGGGAATGTTTAAACAAAACTCACTCATGGTCTCCTAATGTTAACTCCATCATCCTTTCGGTTCTTCTGCTTAAGATGTGATTTTGAACGCCGCTCTTACATATGACCTTCCCTATGACATCTATAACAAAATTCCAGCATAAGATATTTATTTCTACAAATTAAAACTTAAAAGTTTTTTGTTATTCTCACCAATCAATTTTTTGTGGTTGACGACCCTTTGAGTGTGTAGCATGTCAAATGGATGGAAGTCGTACACCATCATTGGCAATTCTGTCCTAGTGTCTTCGGTGAACTGTGTTTTGCTGATGAATTGAATCAAATAGGGATGGTCAGTTGTTTTGACAATTTGGTAGTTGTCCAGGACCAAAAACGTCCTTAGAGCGTGATAGCCGTTATATTTAATTGTGTTTAACATAAGTATTTATAAGTATTTGTTGAAGAAAAGAAGAGAAATCAGACAAATACCTTCAGAATGAGAGCTAAGGCATAAAACATTGTGATGAACGGTTTTTTAGACCAAGAGGATGACGTTCTGCCCATAATTTGAGTATAACGTATTGTAGAGAACTCGAAATCACTCGATTCGAATTTCATGTGATTGTTAACTCAATAAGGTACAAATGTTATGCAGACGTCATGGCCAAAATATGAAAGGAACAAGACTCAATCAACCAACAAAGTCAGATGTTGCTGGTGGGATTTCAGGATGCATATCTCTCAGTGTTTTAGCCATAACGTTTGATTGGATGAATAAAATCACGTCATTCAAGTTTTGGTGGATAGAATACTTCATTATCTGCAGCTTTGGTGAAGGAATCATGTCCAAATTCATAGCAGAACATTCCCAAAATCCCGGTACAAAAACCGACACTTTTTGATCCATTTTGGAGGAAGAAAGACGAAGTACATTTTTGGGCACTGCAACCGGCGCCGGTCAGCCAAGAACCGGCGCCGGTCGGAAGGTATTTTCGCACTAAACGAGCCTGTTTGCAACCGGGGCCGGTTCTAGACTGACCAGGGCCGGTTGGGACGATTTTCTGCTAAAACACAGCAACGTGCAAGAGGATGTTTTATGGGAAAACTTCACCTTCCTCATCTCTTGATCAAATATTGCTCCATACCTCAATTCATCAAGCAATAACATTCCATTCCATACTTTAATTCCTAGTTTTCATACTTTGTTTTTGCTATATATTGTTCTTCAAGTTCTTGAGGAGGAAACTTCAACCTCCGAAACCATTGGTGTTTAGGTATTATTTCCTTTGTAATTTCATGTTCCATTACATTTCAATATTGTATGTTGATTAATATGAGCATTAGAGGCTAATTTCTTAGCTAAGGCTAGAGATGAACCTCTATGCACACTAGGTGTTTGATAAAAGTTCTAAACCAATAAATTGTGATTTATCCTTTATATTTTGATTGTTTATGACTATGGTGTACAACATAGAAGTATGTTAAATTTAGTTTATGCTTGCAATTAACGATGAAGTCTAAACTATGAACATTAAAGGATAAACATATATAGTACCGAGAATAGAAATATATCCGGTCTTATATGATACGGGTGTGATGTCTTGATATTCAACGGGGTTTTCGGTAGATGAATGTAAGCCGTAACTGGACTTACACGTAATGAAAACCACGCTCTCGTTGCCTTAACCGGAGTTGAGAATATATTAGCGACATCGTATTCATGATTATTGGGGAAGAACTATTATTAAATAACTATTAAAGCATTTAGGTGAATCCCGATTGCCTTAGTATTTATCATTCTTGTTTAAATCAACCTCAAAGAACAAAGTTCCTGAAAAACTATACCATTTATAATCTTTTGCATTCAATATTCGACTTTATAATATCAACCATTTCCCTTTGGATCGACCCGGTATTTACCGGTATTTTATTACTACATCGGCACTTGTATACTTGCAAGTTTAGTCCGATCAGAGCATAAATTTGTTTTCCTTGATCCTTGATCATGGTCTTGTAAGCCTCCAGTTGTGGCCTTTTTATGATAGCGTGAATCCGGTCTCCCTAAATTTCAAAATGTCGACATTGTGAATATTATGATTATGATATTATAATTATAATCGATGAATACGTTGAGATTTTATAGTTGAATCAATTGTACCTGTTCATCATGCAACACCAGCTCGAGTGTCACCCCTCCTTTTGAGTGAGGAGGCACCTCGTATGCTCTGACTACCCGCACCCTCAAGGCCCAAGTGGTCTTGGTATGATCAACATCCTTGATCAGTGACCACATCCCTCTTTGTGTTGAAGAAAACTGCCATGACTCACAATTTACTTAGGAATACAAAGAAATACTCAACAATACCAAAGAGATTAGCTTGGTTGTGGTGTGGTTTCTCAAGCCATCGATGGGTATTTATAGTGGGAAAGGGTGGAAGTGGTGTAGAACAAATTGTGTAATAACCAATGGTCAAAGCATATACAATCTCAACTTTCAGATTTTATATTACAACCATTAATTGTTAGGTTGCCATATCTGTGTGTGTGTGTGTGTGTATGCATTTTGTAGAGCAAGTACATTGCATTTAATGTTGTGTGGCTCAAGAAATGCAAAGAGACTAAATGTGTGGCCTCTAGCATTTCGAGTACATTGCTTGCCCTTTTTTATTATTATTGCAGCACTGTTTTCGACATTATTTTATTGAGCCCCTAAACTAATTTGTTGAGCTACTAAAATTGCATTGGACAGTGGGCCTGTATTTAAAGTTACTAAGCAAGAAAGGAAAGTTGCTGGATGACCCGGTTTTGAACCCATTTTTTACTGACCCGGCCCGTTACTGCACAGTGTTTGGGCGGGAACACTGTGCAGATTTCATCTTGGCTTTGTATAATAAAAGATATATGCATCATAAGTGAATAGCTTGTAGTTAGTCTCTTGTGTTGTTTTTGAGTGAGTGTAAGAATTTGTTAAAAATGTAATCAGTTAATCCAAATATGAATATTATGATTTACTAATCATGTCATAACATAGATTATAGTCGTAAATGATTTTCAAAAGACTGATATTATAATCCTGAAATATTAAAGCACAAGTCAGTTTTCACTCCACCGAAAAAGAAATATGAGAATCCTCACTTTGATCAACTACTTCAAACTCATCCATTTCACCCGTTACTTGAAAAGTGACCTATTGAGTTTTATCTTCCTCTGATAGTACAACATTGGTTGAAGAGGGGACGAATGGCTGAGTTCGTGTGTGGAGCCATTTTACCCGATATCGTCATAATTATGGAATGACAGGGTCAAACAACACCTGTCACCCACCAACTCAAAAAGTCAAACACCTGGACAACTATACATACTAATGATGAATACACAAGTTATAGACTTTCTATAATTTTTTTTATCATATTAATTAGAAGAATCATCATGTAATATCTTTTCCATTATAGTGAGATGTCGGAGTGATAAAGTAGAGCAAGAACGTAATTACTTTTGTATGTACTCAACAACCATTTACAATAGTACCAAGGGAGTATTTATACTGCTCATAAGTAAAATTAACATTAGATGCATTATAATGTGTTAATGTCATATGAGTTTGAGTCATTCGACATATGTAGCAACACTTGACCGTGTTATAAATGTTAGGTGGGTTTCTTCATCCTTTGCGCAAGGTCCGAAAAAGGTGTCCTTGGTTGTTGCTTGAGAGAGCACCTCGGCTGCAAGTTGGTCATGCTCATGAGGAAGCGACGAATGACAACACATGCCTTAACCCATCCCAAATTTGGTAAAACTCTTAAATTTTAAATGTATAAGAAGTGTGAATTTTTAAAAATTGATGAATCTTTTAAACAACCTGCCCCACTTCCCTTCCCTAATTACGACACTAGTGATACTCCTCCGCCATGGGGTGATGTGCGACGAGTTTGGGAATGGAAATGCTAACTAGCTAGTTTGTGGACAATATGTCTTTGACTCTTGCTGTATGGAGTGGTCCTAGTCTTGGGTCACACTGGGTGTGCCCCTCAGTGCGCGTCGGGTGGTCACACCCCCTCCCCACAATAAATGACCTATGGTTGAGGTGTAGATGTTAAATCTTCAATTGAAATAGAGTCTTTCAATGCAGACTTGAGTATGTGGGGTTTAGGGTCTATAGCATACACTCCATCGTTGAAAGTACTTGAGACGAAATGGAGTACATGAGGCTTGCGTGCCTTCTTTGTCAGCCCCCTTAACTACTCTTATTTTCACCATTTTATTTGGTGAGAATGTAGCACCTTTAACATTATAATATGATAAAGTTTGATGTAACTAACTCTTAAAATGTTGATATAAAGTAAAGTTTTATTATATTATCATTAAGTATTTTATACAGTTGCACATATATACTCTTCTATAAAAGAGGCTGAAGAGGATCACATAATGCTTAATGGACCTCATTAAGAGGAATATATGTGATGATATGGATGAAGTAGATAATCATGTCGAATTGGCTCCCTCCTCAGAGACTTGGTTGAGGATAAGATTAGCTCAGGGTTGAATGGATGAAATTATTTCCCCAATGCACACGGCACTCGGATAATGATAATGAGATAACCTTTTTCTAGTTTTAGACTTACAAAATTACATATTTTTTTTATTTTTTTGAGGTTTGTGTTTAAAAAACTTGTAAAATGATAGAGATGTGCTTTTCAAGAGATCGTTTTCAACTAGTAAATTAAATCAGTAAACATGACTAGTTTTATTTATTTGAATTGCAATATATGTGTTCATTCCGTGACAAAAGTATTGAAATATATTTCGTGTTGTATTGAAGTGAATACAATGTCTAAAATGAATGTGCATTAGTGTAACATTATTCTTGAAGATGCTAATAGTTGAGTAGACAAAACTAAATGTATTAAATCGATTTATAGTGAATATATCATGCGTATGAATGATAGAAGTTAATTTATATTATGCTTAAATGAATATATCATTTAAAGCAAAGGTGCATTAGTATGACAATATAAAAAGAGCATAGTACAACTTTAATTGAGCTTACCATAATTATGAGTATAATGATTTAGCATTATAATCATTATGTTAACACTAAAGAATTATAAATCAGTTTTCTTCATAAAATGTTATGCATTCACTGCTAAAGTTGCTAATAATTGAGTAAATCCACTAGGTATATTAATTTTGTTTATAATAAATATATTGCATGTGTTTTACGCTATACTCAAATGAGTAAGTTTAAAAGAGGTGAGTTTTGGTATTACATTACTCCCCTATGTCTCAAAACTTTATTTGTCATCCTTCCTTTAATGGTTGTCCCAAAAAACTTTCGTGCCTGTCAAACATGGCAATGTTTTAAGGGACGAAAGGAGTATAAAATAAGTATCACAAAGGTTTCAAATGAACACACAATAATAATGAGTATTGTACATGATTATGAGAAATGTGTGTTGGTGCAATATTATATAATAGCAAAATAAAGTTCATATATTTAGAAAAAGCTAAGGGTGATGGGTATTGGAACTCGGGGTATAGATTTTTATAGGGGTGGACAATTCAGTTTACGGTTTGGTTTTTTTCTGTTTCAGTTCGGTTTATTCGGTTTGGAAGAATTTGTACCAAACTAAAACCATTTGTGTTTCGGTTTGGTTTCAGTTCAGTTTCGGTTTGAGTTTCGATTTGCCTCGTTCCGGAGAAAGCTTGACATCGCCATTTTGATGTTTGAATTAAATATTGAAACATCATAAATACAAAAACTGTAACATATGAAGTGAGCATTTGCAAAAAAAAAAGATGTCTTAGGGTCCGTTTGGAGCCTTGAAAATGGGCTGATAAGCCTTTAAAATGTAAAAAGAGAGCCAAACACATGTCAATTGGGTTGTTGTTTGGCCTGATTTTCCTCATCATCCAAAAAAGTAACAATAGAGTTAAAAAAAATCCAACTAAAAGGGCATTAATTTACCGTTGAAAATCAAAAATACTTATTATCCCTTCTACTTTATACCCGTAGTACACCTGCTTCAGAAAAGTCAAAAACTACTTCTACATCAGTTGCGTCATAGTTTCATCTACTCGGCTACGTAGTTTCATCCTTCATGATTGATGACTTCTCGTTCAGCTTCTCCATATTATTATTATTATTATTATTATTATTATTATTATTATTATTATTATTATTATTATTATTATTATTATTATTATTATTATTATTATTATTATTATTATTATTATTATTATTATTATTATTATTATTATTATTATTATTATTATTATTATTATTATTATTATTATTATTATTATTATTATTATTATTATTATTATTATTATTATTATTATTATTATTATTATTATCCTCCTCCTCCTCCTCCTCCTCCTCCTCATCCTCCTCATCATCCTCCTCCTCCTCCTCCTCCTCCTCCTCCTCCTCCTCTTCTTCTTCTTCTTCTTCTTCTTCTTCTTCTTCTTCTTCTTCTTCTTCTTCTTCTTCTTCTTCTTCTTCTTCTTCTTCTTCTTCTTCTTCTTCTTCTTCTTCTTCTTCTTCTTCTTCTTCTTCTTCTTCTTCTTCTTCTTCTTCTTCTTCTTCTTCTTCTTCTTCTTCTTCTTCTTCTTCTTCTTCTTCTTCTTTTCTTCTTCTTCTTCTTCTTCTTCTTCTTCTTCTTCTTCTTCTTCTTCTTCTTCTTCTTCTTCTTCTTCTTCTTCTTCTTCTTCTTCTTCTTCTCTTCTTCTTCTTCTTCTTCTTCTTCTTCTTCTTCTTCTTCTTCTTCTTCTTCTTCTTCTTCTTCTTCTTCTTCTTCTTCTTCTTCTTCTTCTTCTTCTTTCTTCTTCTTCTTCTTCTTCTTATTCTTCTTCCTCTTCTTCCTCCTCTTCCCTCCTCTTCCTCTTCTTCTTCCTCTTCTTCTTCTTCCTCTTCTTCTTCTTCCTCTCCTCCTCCTCCTCCTCCTCCTTCAATGTTCGCATACCCATCACGAATCTGAGATGTTTTTTCTAACCTTTGCTACGTATTATCTGTAAATCTACTGGTGTGTTGGTATTTATTATTGTAAAAGTTCTAAGAATGTTTAATACCATCTTTAAATATTGTCTTTCTTCTTTCACTTTTCTATTCTTTTATAGATTTTTTCAATTAAAAGAGGCCATAGGTGTGTGAGTTACTTAATTTTCATACTTTTTATGAGTCAAGTGCTCCATGGGTTATTCACTCTCTGAAAAGTTACATCCTAAAATGTTAAGTCGAACTGATTGGAAAGACAAACTAAAGAGAAGAATGGAGAGGGTGAAAGTCCACATAAAAAGAATACACGATGTTGGGT